AATGTACTCGCAGCTTGCGACTTCGAATTGTTGTTCACATTTTATCAATTCTGGATGGGAAGGAAGCATCCACGACAACGCAATTTTAGTTGACTCAATTACAAGAGCTAATCTACATTTCCCACACTCACCGCATGGTGAGTGTCACCAAATAACATACTGTACTTTCTTAAATGTTGATATTTGTGTACATGAATTCGACAGAGCATTATAAACATCATTTACATGTAGGCAAGTACTATTTGATGTATGCCGGGTTCATAAACATGTTTGGATTTCTTGTCCCATTTCGTTCCCAACGCTATCACTTGCAAGAGTTTCATGGCCGCCATTATTCTGGACCCAAGGAATTATTTAATCATTGACATTCGTCGTTACACAATGTCATAGAAAGAACATTTGGTATTCTGAAAAAGCGCTTTCCAATATTGCGGTCTATGCCAAATTATAAGTCCACACGACCGAGACCGCCCGTGATTGCATGTTCTGTTGTGCACAATTGGATCCGTTTGCATACAGTTATGGACTCATTCTTTATAGAAGCTGATAATGAAATGGTGGCAGAAATAGCAGCAGACGAGTTTGTTGGAGGCCAACCTGACTATGTTGACATGTCACAACATGAGTTGATGAACCAATCAAACTTAAGGGATACAATTGCTATTGCTATGTGGGAAAATCATGTTGGCCATCGGTAGATTTGTGATGTGAAGAAATAATGTGAATGTGGTAGTATTGTATGTATTATTACATTCGTCTTTTTATTTATAATGTGTAAAACGCAATTGTAGTTTGAATCGTGCTCTTTAAAACTGTTTATTTTTTTAAAAAAAATTAAATTAAATTCTCCATTTTTGGTGTGTCACTCCTCATTATAGTATAATAATACTGTAATTATATTTGTCTCCGATTGTGGAGTAGTTCAAATAGTTATATGTTCAAATTATTTTGGTCATATTTTTCGGAATTAAATTGATGTGAATTTTTTTTTTTTGGTCCTATTTTATAAGAACTACTTGAAATTTGCGCACATTTCAAGGAAAAAAAAACATCTCTACATAAATTGTATGAATGTAATACTATTGTAAAAAAAAAAAAAATTAATTAAATTTGAGATTAATTTTAAATAGTAGTATAAATTAGAAAAAAAATAACGAATTGTTTGAATTTTTTTCTTTTCAAATTAGGACAAATAAAATGGAACTTTTATAAATACGAAGTTGAGGAATCATAATGGTTACATACGTGTAAAAAATGTACAAATCCACAACATCAATCTATTTTAATTCTATTTTTTGACTTAATTTTTTTTTAAAGATGAATTACACTTTATACTCTTAAAGTGTCATCCAATTAGCATTTTGACCGAGAAAGAACATTTATCTAGCTCCATTTGTTTTGTCTAGCAGTTTGTTTCTAGATTGGGGTTGATAGTCTTTTGGTTGTATAATGTTGTTAGGGCCTAGGGTATACCCCTTGTAAATATGTAAATTTGCTTGTTTTATTTTATTTTTTATTTAGTTGGGGGAGAAACTCCTTTTTTTCATGTTTTTAAAAATAATTTCAAAAACATCTATGGAAAGGGTATTTTTAGACAGTTTTTCAGTAAACAACTAATAAATAAATATTTTGTGTTAATTTATGTGTTTTCTTTCGATAATAAAACTAAAACAATACAAAATGCACTCTAACTTATGTTTTTTTAATAAAACAAATAATAATAATAATAATAATAATAATAATAATAATAATAATAATAATAATAATAATAATTTTGAGATTAATTTTAAATAGTAGTATAAATTAAAAAAAAAAAAAAGAGTAAGGAATTCTTGAACTTTTTCTTTTCAAATTAGGACAAATAAAATGAAATTTTTATAAATACGAAGTTGAGGAATCATAATGGTTACATACGTGTAAAAAATGTATAGATCTACAACATCAATCTATTTTAATTCTATTTTTTAACTTAATTTTTTTAAAAGATAAATTACACTTTACACTCTTAAAGTGTTATCCAATTAGAATTTTGACCTAGAAAGAACATTTAAAAAAAAAAATTTGTGGTCCTTCAATTTACATACTTTTGTCAATTCTTGAAAGTTGGTAACGGTGGATTAATTATATTTTTCACAAAAAATATCAAAAGTATGTTATCTTTCATATCAAATTTAAAATTTGGCAACAATCCTTTTTAACTCATCTTTAATAATGTATTACTATCAAAATTTAATTAGCACTGTTTTTTCTTTTATTTTATTCTTTTGTTATCGGTCTGATCAATCTGATCAATGCAATTGCTTGCCATTCATCACGTCTTTCAGTGTCCAGATGAAACTCACCAAATTGTTAAATTAGTGAGTTCTGAGCGGCGACAAATGCATCGAACCAATTGCCCAATGCATTGAACCGATTAGCTATTTGTTGTTCTCATTGAATGCGCTTCTTGTTTCATCGCCAAATAATCAGTCTAGTATTGGGGTTGTTCATTTTGTAGCATGGCATTGTCATTGGAGTCTTTGGAAGCATCATCTATTGGTGCATTTGTAGCATTAATAGATCTGAATAATCAATCCAGTATTGGGGTTTAGTTATTTTATTGTGATATGACATTATAAACAAATATTAATCAAAAAAGTCAAAAGTAGTTTTTATCAACTTCTCAAATCACTTTTCTAAAAAAACCAAAAGCTTGGTTAAAAGCCAAAAGCCAGTTTTTAACCATCTTTCCAAAACACCCAAATGTGTCAATTTGGTTCTTGCTGTTTCAATTTGTCCGATTTTGACAGGAACCAAATTGACACATTGTGTAAATTACATGGACCAAATTGATACATAGTTTGACTTTTCGTCCACCAAACTTAACAACTGTTATTTATTGGACTAAAATGACATAATTTGCTAAATTAAGGTGCAAAATCGAGCAAATTGAAACAATAAAGAGTAAATTAACAAATCGTGTAAACTACCGGAACTATTTATATAATTTATCCTAATTTTAATATTTATTTTTCATTTCCATGAGATTTTTTTTTTAAATCAGTCATAAGTCGGTAAACAGTATGAGGGTTGTTACAGTTGGCAAAGCCCAGGACAGCTGGAGGCCATCTAGACATGGAAGGCCAATGGCATTTGGGCACATGGTAGGTGGGACACGGGCCACATCAGCAGACAAAGATCTGCAGAGTTATTATCACAACACATCACCATTAATGCATCCCATCACAGCATTTATTACGACAACACCCCCCTGTCGGAACAGAGCCCCATCACCCTGAACAAGGTAAGCTACGACACAGGCTTTCGGCGAAAGGAAGCATGTCACAAGAGACAGGGAAATGATGACCAGAGGATATAAGCAAGGATAGAAAGACAAGAATAAGGTTAAGTTATCTCTCTCTTGATCCCACTCTCCATATTCCCTACTTCTTCCTCTACTAATTCTCACGCCGGAGGGTTCAATGGGGGACTGCCCCGTTCCCCTTTGGGCTTGCATGCAGGTCATTTGACAGAATCATCACCCCGAACCGGAACCTCAAGAGCCTGGACCGGTCCGACCCATTCACCTGGGAAGAAGAACGTTATCAATTTGAATTGTTCATTTTGTAAAAAAAATTAAATGTATCATCCACACACAAAAAATTAGGTCGATCTTATAATTATAGCCTATTTAATTTATCATATTTATCACTAAAAAAATGAATAATCTATTTTTTAAAACACATTTTTCTTTAATTATTTTTTATACAAATGTCATAAATTGAATAGGTTACAACTATCGAATTGACTTAATTTTCTGTGTGAATGGTGTACACAAAAGATCCTACTAAATAAGCAATTCAGATTATCAAAACGGAATCCGTGGTGAGTCCAGTGGTTCCGGACAGCACCCTATAATCTATATTATGGACAAGAGGAAAGTTTAGATATATTATTATGTAAAATTACTTTAGATAAAGCTAATAATACTCCAGAATGTTGAATAAAAAATTTCATCAAATTTGAGTAAAAAATTGATAAAAAAATTTGATTTGATACTGTTCATTCCAATGCTAAAATTAGAATTTCATTAGATTTTTTTACATCCTAGTTGTTCGGTAGGACGTCCAGGAAAATGTCTTGGAAGTCGTCTAGACCTAAACAAAAAAGTTGTCAAAGTTGCTATTGGGTGGATGAAAAACTCCCTTCATTTAATGAAAATTTTGATTTTCCTTCTATTTGATATGAATCTGGTGAAAGGGTTGGAGCGCCAAAATGACACTTTTCATCAAATTCAAATTTGATAAAACATCTTATACTGGATTGGAGATACTCTTCCATACACAAAAGTTGAAAACAAGATTCAGCCATAACCAAAAAGCTTGGAGCAAAAAAAATTGCATAACTTTATATTTTTTGAGTCGTAACTAAAAAAAAAAATTATGATTAAACACAACATGAGATATATTTAAATATTTCATAAGTCATAACTAAAATAACATCATAATTTAAAAAAAAAAGATTAATTATAACTAAAGAAAAAAATGACATAATTAGAAATGTGTATTAGAATTTTCCATATATATAGTCCAGTAGTCCAGTGGTTTTTTCAGATGAATCTGAAGGTTGAAATGTGATTATCAAGATACAAAAGGTTTGTCTGGGCTTTTTGGTTTTCTTCTTATCAACGACTCCTAATTTCAAAACACTGGACTTGCACATAATTTTCAAAACATTTTGCATTTACGAGTCAATTTGCCTGTCTGATTTTGCATTTACATTTTGCACCGAGTCCTCGTTCCTTGAACCAAGTCAATCCGGCTTGAGTAAATTTCAGGATATGCAATTGTGATCGGAGTCAGCAAGTTTATTTGTTTTGACAGAAAACAAAAATATTTGTCATAAAAATGTTTTCTATTTTTTATTTCAACATGAAATTAATGTGCTACTGATTGAATTAGTAGTCACGGGTGTTTTGACCATGTTCTAACGACTTTTAAAAAATTAACAAAATTATCGTCTTGCCATCAAATAGTCAAACTTCTCTAACCAATTAACTTTCTGTCAATGTACATTGATCAAAAAAACTGTCAATCTACACTGCATCACTATCAAAGACGCCACAAAAGCATTTCACATTGTAATACTTTGCAAAAGGTTTAATTTCTGAACCACATTCTCACAAATGTGTTGTTTGTTTAAATTTCACATTGCTCGGTCGATTGTTCCTTCAAGTGAATATGTGGTTGATCTTCAAGAGTGGTACCACCATTAGCATCATCTTCAGGGTGCAGAATCAAACCATAGCTAACAGAGACATGAAGCCACTCGGTCTCTGTGGATAAGCTCTCATGCCCTGCCATGTACCTCTTCAGCTCAATGCCAAGGCTGCTAATTGGCTATAAAACAAGGTCCCAAAGATTAGAAAATGAGAATATCATCATCCACAAAACCACAACATATATTCAAGTGACAACTTACAAATTTCATGGGTTAAAATGTCCAGTTCTTTAATACCATTTTGTGCACTTAATTTATTACTACCATTGGCATCCGCAATGTGTATATAATTCAATAGAGTAAAAGTAAATGATAAAAATGTTAGGAATATTTACATGTAAGTACTAATAAGTAGATTTATTGTCTAATTGGTTCTATGAAAAAAATTTGTCATAAAAAAAGTCACTAATTATAAGTTTTAGCGACATTTATAAAAATCATGACAAAAAAAGTCATTAATTGTCAATTTTTAGCGACATTTACAAAAAATTGTCACAAAATTATTTTTAGCGATAATTTTATCAAGACTTATTTTCAATAATACTTGATGAAAATTAAATCTAATTATTAAGACTTATTGGTAGTTTACCCAAAAAATTAAGACTTTGTTTGGTAGAGCTCTGAAATCTTAATTCCATCCCTTGCTTTGAATGTTGTGTTTAGTTAGTACTTTCAAAAATTAATTTCACATCTATTTTTCAAAACATGTCTACCCAGTTATCTCCTGAACGTCCGGAGCAAATTTTTTTTTTCTTTTTTTTTTTGCATCTGTTATTTTTATATTTTAAATAAAAAATATTTTTGAATTTTTTTTAAATTTTTTTTATGAGTTTTGAATAAAATTTTGGATTGTATGTTTGGTTATGAATTATAAGTTTTTGAATTAAATATCATATATCACATCATTCAATTCAAAACTTATAATCAAACAAATTTTTTACACTCAAATCAAAATTTCAAAACTCATAAACTCAAAATATAACTCTATTCTCGAATCATAATTTTAAAACTCTATCAAATTTTCCCTAATATCACAATATATGTTGCTCAACTAGTGAGAACTTTTTTTCTTAAATTTAATGTCAAAGTTTCAAATCTTGTGAACTTTTCTATCCAAAGACTTTCACTTTAATAAAACTTTTTTTTTTATTTTATTTTAAATAGAGAAATGAGTAAAGAAAGTGGAAGAGTTCTAACCTCTGCCTTTGATTCAAGAACAAGCCTAAAGAAAGCAGCCGAAACAAAATGTCTCCCAACCGACTCGGCCAATCTGATCTGACTAATCCAGTAAGCCGAACTCTCCATCCTATCAAACCTACACTTGCTACACCTCTCTGCACTCCGGTACGGTGTACTGGAAACTCCACCCTTAGCCACCGGAGCCAAACCCGCCATCGGAGTCCGAGGACTCGAAACACCTCCCTCCGCCACACCTACAGCCGCAATTTTCCCAATTTGTTCTTGAAAACACACACTCTTCTCTTTCTTCTTCAGCATTGCTCTGTTTTTTTCAGGGGATTTGGTGTTAAGAGAGGTTTGGGTTAGATTGGGTTGTTTTCGGGAGACTTGGATTGAAGGTTTTTTGAAATCGGGCTTCTCGGCCACTGTCTTTGGGGGAACATTAGGGTTTCGAGTGGCGCCAAAGACGCGCCTTTGCCTGTAGAACAGAGGATTTAGAAACATGCAATGTAGAGATATAATAATTAGAGTAATTGGGTATTATGGGTTTGTTTTTGTTGGACAATCTTCACTGTATTTAAAAAGATTTAATTCTGTTGTGTACAAAACAACAACCAGAATATAAAGAAATAAAGAAAAGGAGAGAATATGTTTGATTACAAAAATCAAACTCGAAATAAAAATAAATAAATAAAAAATAAAACAGATTTTATTTTGTTACAAAAACAAAATTAAAATCTGAATAAATAAACAAATAAAAACAACACTGAAAGTAATTAAATAACTTACTTGATTTAATTTCTTCGAATTATTTTTCTGATCAAGTCCAGTGTTTAACACTGTGTCCTTAAGACAGATTCGTCATCTCCACGGTGCTTTCAGAATTCGGACGTCTATCTCCCAGGATAAAATGATCTACTACAAACAATAGCAGCACTACAAATTGTTTGTCTAACGAACACACTAAGTGTTTATACTCTCTCTGACAAGAAAATAATGCAGCAAAATGAAGAGGATGTTTGCAGAATTATGAAGGACGAAAATTTTAGTTCTCTAAATTCAAATGAGGGCTGTCCTATTTATAGATGGAAAGTTGAATACATAGCTTTTTTGGCTATTTGATTGATAGTATTTGGCATGAATAGATGTGTTAAAATGTCCTTCATGCCCTTCAATGCTTTATGTGAGGCTGACCTGTACATTTTTCGCCTGTTCTTTAGACAACAATGAAGGAAAGGAACTAAATTGTTTTAATGCATGAAATTTAGGGATGCAATTGAAACAAATTAACAATTTTTTGGACTGAAATGAAATCAGTGGTATACTTTAGAAACCATTTGCATAATTCACCCTTAGATTCCGGTTAGTTTCTACAACGGTCCGACATGACCCCATAAACTGTCTGCTACATCGGTCTGACACGACCATACCGTGTCTCCTATCCTGTTTTATTTATCAGTTTATTTTTCTGTTTTGTGACTCTCTCCAAACTCAAGTTGGCTAGTGCCTATCCTCCTTGAGTTTGAGGGGGGCTGTTAATGTAAATTGTAAATGTAAATTGTACTCCACCTACCACCTCCACTTCACCTAACACACTCAACTCTACCTACCACCTCCACTTCACCCCCTACCAGCACCACCACAATCTGCTACCTTCTCTTCTATATATAGGAGTTGTAATCAATATACAGATACACAACAATCTTGTAATACATCAATCATTAATCAATCAATAATACATTTATTTTAACAAGAGTAATTGGGTATTATGGGTTTGTTTTACCTGTGAATGGGTTGTTCTTTGGTGTTTTGTTTCGGTGCTTGGATTGCTTTTGGGTTAGTTTTCGCCTTCGAGGGCTGAGATTTTCCTGGGTTTTGTGTAGTGCATTGAAAAATTCAGATATATTTCTAAATCTATGTATATATATATATATATATATGTGTGTGTGTGTGTGTGTGTGTGTGTGTGAACAAGAAGATTAAATTGAGAACAAATTATTGAAAAAAATAAAAATGAAAAGTTACCTTGAAACCGAGTGGCCTGAATTTCCATTGCAAGAAATCAATCACTGCAGAATGAGAATTAATTTCAGTTGTGATTTTTTAACGCTTTTTAAAATTATGTTATTGTAAATAAACCGCCCTCCCTCTCTCTCTCTCTCTCTCTCTCTAATAAAAATCACAGAAAACAGATCAGCGTTTGAATTCTTTTCCCTTTAGATAAAAGATATAAGTATAAAGGAGAACAGAGCATGCTTGTGATTTTTGAAGTTTGAATTGAGGGGAAAAAAACGCGGGAAAGGTTCTCGGGTGGGTGGTTATAGACGCTCCCAATATAGAATTGGGATCCTCCCCTTCATTTCGGTCCTTCATTCCCTCTTTGCAGGGCTTTTGGACCCACTTTGAGGCTCAATTTTGATAATCTGAATCGTTCATATTTTTAGATTTATTCAGTATATCATACCTGTAAAAAATCAAGTTGATCGAATATCATAAAGTATGTGTTCGGAAAACTGTTTATTAAAAAATAGTTTGTAGTCCCAATTTTCTGAACGCATACTTTCTGATATCCGATCAACTTGATTTTTTACAGGTATAATATACTGAATAAATCTAAAAATATGAACGGTTCAGATTATCAAAACTGGGCCTCAAAGTGGACCTGAAGACCCTTGCAAGGAAGGAATGAAGGAGAGGCTCAAGGAGGGGATCTGGACTCCCCAATATAGGCCCCTTGAAACCCAGACTTTGTTTTTTAGCCCAATTGAGAGGCCCATGAATAAAATATCTCCAAAAAAAATTAATTGTTAAAAACTATTCTAATTTATAAAAAAAATTAAAAATAAATTCTATTTTTTTTAATTGTTAAAAATTATTCCTGCCTTAAAAAAAAATATATGAAAATAGTAAGAAGTGTTTTTATTTTTGCCATTAAATTACATTTTGAAACTCAACCAAAAAAGACTTTGAGAATATGTTTCAAACAAAAAAATAATAATAATAAATTATGGTATAATATAAGGTAATTTACACCATTGATCACTAAAATTTTAGTAAGATTTTATTTTGGTATTCATAGTTTAACACTGTCAGTTTTTAGGCTTTTTGTTTATAGCCTATGTATACACATCTTATTAAAATAAATATAAAGATTGATAATGCGATATGGTCAATGGTGAATGGGTCAGACTGATTTGCGCCTTCAATGGGTTTGTTGGTTGTCAAATCCTCGACGCGTTCCTACAAAAAAATCTGTAGGGGAGTAGTCCCCCGTGGACACTCCGACGATCAAGCAGGGTTAGAGTAGAGAAATAGTGATAGATAGTGGTTAGTTAGAGAGCGTAGAAGAAGAAGAGGAAGAATACCATATATTCCCCCAAACGTACCTCGAAAGCTTCCCTATATCTCTTGTTCATCATTTCCTTGTCCATTCCAAACTGTCTTGTTGGCCAAAAGTCTATAGTCCAGTTACCATCGTCCATAGTGATTTTGCATACTCCGGTGTGAGGGGTCTGGCTGTATTTAATGTTGTGATGGCCTTATTTAATGGTTGATGTGTGGGTACAATAACTTTGCAGGATCTTTGTCCGCTTATGTGGCTAATTCCCTACCTAACAAGTGTTTAAATGCTAGTGGTCTTGGCCCAATATTAGCTTCTCAAAGCTACTGGGCTTTAACCATGTGACTGCTTGGAAGGCTGAGGATAGGGGTGGATCGAGTCTATCTGGGCCGTGAGCTGGACCTAACACCATGGGCTTGGCCCTCTTGGGTCGTGCCCATTAGTAGTACCCTATTCCCGAGTGCAGCTTCAATCCAACGAAGGGAATATGAAAGGTAGGGGTAGTCTTCCAAGGCTGGAAAGGTTACAGAGGGCGGGCGGGTAAGTTCTGCTTCTAGAGGGGAGGGGAAGTCAGCATTGTGACCAATCGTGAGGGTGGCCGACAGTAAAGGTAGCAAACCGATAAGGTGGTTGACCAACAAAATGACCGACTGACCGACCGACAAGGGTAGTCCACCATCGAGACGACTGACTGTGTAGGTGACTGCAGACACTCAATTTTTGACCGCCCTAAAGACTTGGGCACCTTAGGTTAATCACTCAATAATGAAAGTTATGCTGTACAAACGTTCGATTTTTTCAGCAAGAAGAGCTTCTAAATCCCAACCTTACACCCATTTTTTGACCAAAACTATTTTAGACCTTAAAACCCTCTCTTTCAAAATATTTTTCCAAATGTTTCTATGATGTTCCGAGGCTCGCATTTTGTTTAAAAGTTGCACTTTTCAGTAAATCGAGCAAGGACAAAGTGGAAATAAATGGAAGATAGGTGAACTCTTTGAAAAATCTTTAAAAACTCTTATTTATAGGTTTGGAGTTGAAGAAAATAGGAGGGGAGAGAAGAAAACTAGTTGGGCATCAAATCGTTAAGAGAGAACTGGGTAACCTTCACTAAATCAGGCCTATCTCTTTGCACACTTATACTTTAGTTATGAGGCCACTACCATTGGAAATTGGACTTCTGGGGTTTCAATTTAGACTCAAGAATCTCGTAAAGCCGAGTCCGAATGAATGAGATATGGCTATTTGAAGTTAGGCATCAATTCAGTTAAGATAGAAATAAGCAACTTTCACTAAAATATTCATATCTCTTTTCACACTTAGAATTTAGATGTGAGTCTTTCACTATTGGAAAGTAAACTTTAGGGGCTTCAATTTAGACTCAAGAATCACCTAAAACTGAGTCTGGATGAAGGAGATATACCCATTTGAAGCCGGGCCTAAAAGTAGATTTTTGTGGCTGGTAGGCCATTACTTCTGGCCTGCCGGCCACTTATGAAAAGCCCAGATGTTTGTACATAGATATTTTTGACTGGGGCTCATGTTTTTATATATATACTTGACTTTCCCTCATGTTTTTAGGTTATAAAAATTTCCAAAGGGATCAAAACTTGAAATTCTCTCTCTATCTCTATTTTGCAACCTATACACTCTCTCTTTAAATTTCCTAAACCAATCCTGCAGCTCTCCTTGCTGAGATTATTGAGTCGAAATTTTATCCCTTAAGAGTGTAATTTTTGTGGTTTGTGAACAAAAGAGTAACCTTGCTTCAGGAGGTATGATTTTCAACATCTCTACATTACTTCTCTCCTATCTTTTCTTGCTATTTTTGAACTATTTTTGGACTATTTTTATAGGATGAAGCTTGTAGTTTAAGGCTATTAAAATTATGGGTTAACCACCCTTCTTTACACCTTGTCTCCTAAGCTTTTACACTAGTATTTCCCATCTCTTCCTTAACTTTTTTTGAATTTTTTACTAATGATTTTCAGAATTATTTCAGTGGCTAAAATCATGTCTTGAGGTCCAAAAATGGAGGGGGTAGCCTCTCCTCCTTATGCTTTGTTTACTAGATTACATAGCTCCATGTTTTAGCTTATTGTTCTAACTATTTTTGTCTTAATTCCAGCATGTTTTAGGACTTTAGCACTGTTTTAGGACTGATTTAGCACTGTTTTAAGACTGTTTTTAGTGGTTCATTGCATTTGATTTTTGTATTGCATGCTTGTAATGTAATTGTCCTCACAGGCTTGGTGGTTTAGGCTTTAGCCACCAACCTATTTGAGTTGATAGCATTTGTGTATGGCTTTCCATACTTGTTTTCACCCCTAATCACTTCTGCAACCTCCCTCCTTTCTTGGCTTTTGCTTTGCTTTGAAAGTTGATTCAAACTAGTTACTTGTTTAAAGCATGAGATTGAGGTCTTGTGCTTAATGATTTAATCCCTTTGGGGGTTCATTACCAACGGAATGACACTTCTCTCATGCCTAAAACAGCTCTTGGTTTGACGCATCTTTCCATTCTTTCTATTAGAGGACTTAAAGCTCACCTTTGGACTTAATTTACTAAGGAATGGTTGGTAATTAAAATGGAGTAATAAAATTGGGGACTAAAAATGATGCAAGATAATAACTTGGTTAGGGTTCAATCAGACATTAATTGAACCGTTGAATCTTGAATCGTTTCATACTTGTTAGTGATGTAAACGGTTCAAGAGTCATTGTCAACCACTTCCCTTGATCAATCCATGATAGGAAGGGGGTTTGAGAGTCTTATTTGTTGCATTTATTGAACTTGCACCTTTGATTCATAGGCCATCTGTAGATGCGCCCCGAGGGCCTCATGCTACAGTTCGGACTCAAATGTCACGGTTCTGAATATGATCTCGCAAAGTGCAATGCAAGACCGATAAATCACCAAAGAGTCCAAATCCGACAAATCGTTTTGGAAAACTGATTTTTGTAAAAAAGTGCCAAACATGGACTGCTTTTCCAAATATAGAGTCGCCACCTAAATATTTTATTTTAAGGGAATTTAGGAAACCCTGACTCGTGCCTAAGGCCATGTGTCCGTCATCACTAAAGTTGCCTCGGCTCGGGAACTTGGGTACGATTGGGAAAGGTCATCTATGAGCACTACCGCTTGCCCGATCAAAGATCGGCCACTGCTAAACATGATATCTAGTTTTTGAAAACACATGTGTTCTTATTCCAGTTAATTAGCTAGAATTACTATGTGATGCGCACAGCAAAACAAGTATAGATTAGATCGCCTAATTTGGAACAAAGCATCGCATATCCGTTTGTTTAGAAAATGGTTTGAACTTTGCTACTCGTAAGTAGGCTAAAATGCGGATTTCAATGAATTGTTCCAATTCAAGTAATCCAACCTTCACCCACAGGCATTCAGGCAGTTAAACACATAAGCAGTTAGCCTTATGGCAAGCATGCTATCAATGACACACATGTAGTATGCTAAAGCATAAAAGCTTACCTAGTACTCCGAGCCAAAATAAAAACTAGTTAGTAATCAATGCATGATCCTAGTTCATGTTAAGATGGCTAATGTAACGCATGCAAAATGTAACTAGAAATAGGCTCGGCTATCCTAAAATGGCATATAAGATGCAGCAATTGATACATGTATTCAACTTGGAATTGAAATACGATGCAGTTAGTATGATGCGCCGAGCCCGGTGCATGCAAGATAGATGAATGGATGCAAACATGCAGGCATAAGTATGCTAAACAAATGAATGGATGCAAACATGCAAAGCATAAGTATGCTAATTGAAAAATGACCTAAAACTAACCAACAAAAGTGGGTAAGTAAAAGGGAGAAAGACGTGGGGTTAGAAGACATGCACACACGC